CTCTCTTCCCTCCTCTCCCGTCCTATGGCCTCTCAGTCTCGAGAATCACAGAGATGAAGGCCATGTGTTTGAGAAACCACCCCAAGGCTTGTAACCCTGTCCACAGTTCTCCATCCGCAATTTTGAACTGAGTCGCGGCTGACCGCCAGATGGCGCTGTGGGACAAGCGATCCGAGGCCGGAGCCGCCGGGAACCCCGGACTCGAGGGGGACGAGGTGCGAGCCCGAGAGGGAAGCGGGGAGCCGCGACGAATGTGGGACACAGGCAACAGCCAGACTAAAACCCCAACGATTTAACACAAGCCTTAACCCGTCCTAGAGAGGTTAAGATCTGGACGCACCCGGAAAGGCGCAGGACGGAAAGGGGGTCCCACGGTCTTCACCGCCTCAGGGATCTGACATCTTGCTCTCCAACGCGAAGGCCCCCGAGGCCAAAAACTGCGGTTGGCCAAGGCCCGGAGCCCCTCAAGGCACGTCCTCTCCCCAGGGGGTGTGCTCCGGAAGGCTCGGGGACGGCGTCTCCGTGCGCTCCCCGTGGCCTCCCTCTTCTAGCTTCTCGGGAGTTAAGGGCAGGATCATTTCTGTGAGGGAGCAGGGAGTCTGGAGCTGTTCTGTGTGCTTTCCAGACTCACATTTGTCGGCGTTATTTCAAGAGCCTCGTGTCTAGTTCGTGAGCAGAATACCCGGCCCGCCTCCACGGGCATTCCCGACGCCCCAGCGTGGGGAGCCAGCGAGGGCCTGGGCTGCGGGGGGGGGGGGGCGGCGCGCTAGGGGAGCACCTTCTGGACACACTCAGAGCCACGTGTCCCTGCGAGCAAGCACACACACACACACACACACACACACACACACACACAGCCCTCAAAGAAAGCATCTGGGAGAAATGCGACCTGCAGGCAGCCTGGCCAGGCTCGCAGGCCCAGCCATCGCCTTTTGCAGACTGGTGCTGGGTGCTTTTGGCTCTCCAGGCCTCAGCCCATCAGGGCGTCCCCAGCACCCTGCAGCTTGAAGGCCAAGACTTTGCTCCCGCGTCCTTGCTGCCACCATCCCCACGCCAGGACCAGGCTGCAGGGGGCTCCCCACTTTGTGCTTGTAGCTTGGGGTGAGGTGACCGCCACTCCCGGGGTTAAAAGAGAGCTCTCCACAGGCTTCAGATAGGGGTTCACTAGTACCAAACTACGCTACTGCCAGCCCTCTAGGGCAGTGTGACCGTCGGCGTCGTGCGCAGGCTCGATTTCTGTCTTCAGTACGAGCTCTAGAAGCTGGTCGGATGTCTGGACTAGAGGTTAGGGGTGGATCCTGTGCACTGTGTAGGCTCTTTGTGCACCCTGCCAGCTGCGCTTGGAGTGGGTTGGGTACGCGGGGAGAATGCGCATTTTTCTCGATCCTCTCCCGCTAGCCCTCAAATCCGGGCCTCTCACTGGGGCCAACTAATACGCGGAGCCAGGTGCAGGAGGGTGGAAAGGGCGCCTGGTATGTGTCTGTCACTTTAAAGGCAAGTCCCAGGTGAAGGCGCCCAGTGGAGGGAAGGTTAACTACGTAGAGGTCAGTCAGCTCCAAGAAGAACGCTAGGCACCCAAGAGACAAGGCCTGGCTTCTACAACTAGGAGCTGTCGCCCCAGCCCATCCCTGGCTGATCTCGGATCACTCTTTGTCCGCACACCTGCAAAGACTCACTGGACCTGCGAGGCCAAGATTTAGGCCTATGAGGCTCAAGCAGCAGAGTCTCTCGGGGCGGTTTTCTGGCATGGTGTGACTACTCGCTTATATTTTGTGTTCTGCGCTTGCCCTGTACAACTCAGCAACCTCCAAGGCCAGACATTTTGCTCAGGGAGGTGGGTGGGGAGGGGAAAGGGAGGAGGTTTGACTGCTGGGAATGGGAACTTATAAAAAGCGGCCAGGTTTTGCTTCTAACCCGGCAAGGATTTTCTAAGGTGCATGGACCCCATTCCTTTAAGTGATATTATTTTATTATTTACTTTTGGCGATGCTAGGGGTTGCACTCAGGGTCTCATACATGCTAGGCAAGCTTTCTGTCACTGGATCCGATTCCTGAGTGGCTTCCGGCTCTGGTTCTGAGGACCCTAAGGTTCCACAGCTCTTCTCTGCACCCCTCCTGGCTCTCGGGAAGCTCCTCAAGTCCATCGCCTAGCGCCAAGGCAGACAGGCCCTGGAAGGCCACCCTAGCTCTGAGCCCGCGCGGGCGGCCTGGAGACCCGACAGACAGCAGGCTCGCCGCGCGCGCAGACAGTTAGTTCATGGAAACCCTGGAAATCAGTTTAAGCGCACCCAGGACAGAGGGGGAGGAAGGTAGGGGCGGGAAAGATGGGGTGAAGGGAGGTGGGTTACAGTGCGCGCAAATGGTTCTGAAAACGCGAAACCCTTCCCCCTTCCCCATTGTTCTTAATGTAGCAAAATAAAAGTGTTAAAGAATTGCGCACGGCTGGGGAAACCCGAGGCCCCGCCCGCCCCCGGCGGAGGAGCGCGCTTCCTTGGCAGGGAGCCCGGCCGCGGCGTCCCCGCTCCTCCTCCCTCTCCCCGCCCCCGGGGGGCAGCTCCTGCGGCGACCGCCACCTCACGCCTAAGGAATGCTCGAGGTATGCACGCGTTCCCAAAGCGGACCTCCTTCCCGCCGGAGGAGCAGACCTCACCCGTGGCAGCCTTCCACCTTCCCGGCGTTTCGTAACCCAGTAAGCTGAGAGCCGGGAGCAGCCCTCTCTTAAGGCGCGGGGCGCGTAGCCTCTGCCACTCGGCGGCGGCGGCGGCGGGCGCCCCGATCGTCCACCTTGTTCCCCGGGCGGGCGCTGTCGTGCTTCGGGCGCGCTCCTAGCGCTCTTCCCTGGACTCTCGGTTTCCTGCACTCCGAACGCTCCGGCTTCTCCCGGGAGCCTCCTGCTGAGTCCGGATTGTCCGCGCTGCTCTGGGGAACCTCCTCCTGCTCCTCTTCGGCTGCCCCCCTGCTGCAGTTTGCACTCCGGCCGCGTGGGCTCCCTGGACGCTGCGCTGTCGCTGTGGGGCGAGAAGTCACCCGCTACCTCTGTCCCCGCCGCCCGAGGTAAGTCGTTTCTGTCGACTTTCCTCTACTCCGTCTTCTCCAAAGACAGCGAGGGAAATTCATTTCTAGATAAGGGCGCTGCAGACCAGTCTGAGTGGAGGCGTGCTGCAGACTTGACTTGGCGCACAGGCACTCCGCTCCGTGTTGTGGCAGGCGATTGACTTTTGTCTACAGATGCGTAGACGACAGTGTGGAGCGTACCGGTAGCACTGGCCGCGAGCCCTGGGATTCCCAGGCGGCGGGCTTTGCCCGGTAGCAGGGAAGGATGTTGGGGACACAGGGCGCAAGGTTCTTGGAGCCGCCGAGTGCTCAGCAGCTTGCTTTAGCTGTGCCGGCACGTGTGGCATCTAAAGAGGATTCCCGCGCAGGGCCTTGGCTCCTTCCCCACCGCCTTTTCTGACCTCCAGCTAGTGGCTTCTCCCAAAGCATTGGTGAGGTCCTTCTCGGAGTCTGTGAGATCTCTGAGACCGCTAAGATATCGAATCCTAGAGCAGGAGGACTACAGAGCGCGGGGGGTGAGGAGTAGGGGGAGAGGAGCTCGTTTGTGGAGCGAGGACTGGGACCCTGAGTGTGATCCCCCTCCATCTGAACTCTGCAGACTTCTAAAGAAAGATGGGGTGGGCTGGGGCAGGACAGGGAATGCGCACTCAGCTCATTACCAGGCTCTAAAGAGAGGAGGTGGGCAGACACGCATGACACTTTGAGAGGCTGTGCGTGTGCGCACCTCTACATATGTGATTTTCTTTTTTACCTGGATGAGAGCATTGAGAGATTGGAGTCGACCAGAGGAGGTGGGGGCGGGGGCGGGGCGAGTGGACCCAGAGGACTGCTTCTGAATCCCCCCAACCAGTCCTTCACCAGGGCAAAACTAGGGTTTGGGGGTGTACTCCTTCCTGCCACGTAGGGGCAGATGCTTTCAGACTTTGTTGTCTGAGAATGCTCAGTGAAGTGCTGCTAAACAGGCAGGTAAATGTCTGGGCTAAAAAGTACAGAAAATCTGTTCTTTTTAAAAACATGGACAAGATGCCTGACTGAGCCAACTGTTTTTGGGTTTAGGTACCCCAGGGCTGGAGGATTCCTTCTTGGTGTAGCCGAACAGCCGGTGGGCGGCGCTGTAGACTTAGGCAAAAGTGCTTTCAGCCTTGAGCTTTTGTTGAGCTTGGTTGAAAACACACCACACAACACAACACAACAAAACAAAACTACAAAAAAACCTGCACACAGCCTTTAGTGGGTCAATCATCAGCCTTTAGCTTTGCGTAAGCACGAATCCAATTGAATTGGAAATTTTATAGCGAAGCTATGGCCAGATTGCGGGAAACAATGGCCCAGTACCACCTTTGCTCTCCACTGATGTAGAAGAGGGCTAGAAATACTAAACAGTTAATTCGGAGGAGAGAAATTGCGAGAGTCCTTGGATTCCCAAGAGCATTGCCAAAACTTTAATGTTGGCTTCATGCAAAGGAACTCCGGGCAATTTGGCAGACTGCTCATCAGACATTTAAAATGCAATTTACACTCAGGTGGAGGATGCCCAGTATTGTGCCAGTGATTTGGAAAGGTTTTTAGCTGGAGACTGTCAGTTTCTGTTTTCAAGGAAGGCTTGTCCTTTGGATTTTCAGGCATCAGTCCTCTCCCCCTTCATTTTACACAAGGCTGTAGCCTGTGGCCGACAACAGAGTCAAGTACACTTCAAACTCAACTTTATGTTTTGCTTTGGCATTGATAGTGGCTTTTGTGTCTAGATTGGACTTTAGGAGATTCCATTCTGGTGACAGGGATTAAACACCTACTGTGTGTCGGGAAACTACAAAAGATGAGTAGGATGCTTTGTTTTTAAAAATTGAATAAAAATGTCACAGAATCAGGAAAAATTCTAATAGAATATCTCTGGAGCAAATATAACTGCGGTCTTCCAAGATAGATCAAACAGTAAAATGCAAATATTATTTGTCGCCAGGACCTTTTATTAAAAGTTTGGGGAAGCAGATGAGAATGTTTTCCTTCTTCTCGTCCCACATATTTTTACCATCTATTTCAGTTGGTGATCTTAATCTTCAGCAAAAGATCACACAGGTTTCAGCCTGGCCTTACATATTTCAGAGGTGAAAGACTTGAAAATTAGCAGGTAGAAAAAAAAATATGAAGAAAACAGAGAGTAAAAAAGGTTTATTATACTTTTCCAAATTACTCGGAGACCAGTAAAGCACAGTTACCTGAAGAGATCAGCAGCTAGGAAGCAGCAGCCTGGCCAGGAGAGACAGACGCATGTGGCCAGTCAGAGTCAGATCTCCCAGGCAGAGCACAGGGTCAGGGGTCTCACGGGGCTGTCAGCCTCCCTGCGGGTGGCAGGACCATGTCAAGGGACGCAGGCCCTCGAACCCGCGCCCCCTCCCCTGGCTCGGAGGAGCTGTCTTCCGCGGCTCCACTGTGGGCCCGGCAGGCACGTGCGGGCTGGCCCAGGGTCTGGCCGGGTGCTGGGCACGTGCAGGCCCAGGTCCGGGAGACCCGCTGCCGGCTGGGTTATGACGCCCGCTTCCTCCCGCAGCCCCCCGAGCGAGCGCCGGAGCTCAGCGTCAGCCAGCATGCGGACCCGGCTGCCCGCGGCGCTGGCCGCCCTGGGCGCGGCCCTGCTCCTGCTCGCGGCCGTGGAGGCTGAAGGTAAAGGCTCCTCCCGGGTCCGCACTGCGGGCCGTGCTGCGCGGTCCCCGGCGCTGCCGCTGCTCCGTGCGCGCTCCTCCTCCTCCTGCTCCTCCTCCTCCTCCTGCTCCTCCTGCTGCTGCTGGGCTCTGTCCGTCCGTGCGTCCGTCCGCGCTCCGCTCTGGCCCCTGCTGTCTGCTTGACCCCGCGTCCTGTGCAGCGCTGTCCTCTCCTGCCTGGTCCCCGCGGTGTGCTGTCCGCACCGCCGCCCGCGCCGACGCCCGCCCAGGACGCACGCCAGAGCCGAGAGGGACCTCGGGACACCGCGCACCAAGAGCTCCGGCTCCGGGTCCCGGCCGGGAGGACTTCGCGCTGGCCGGCTGGGTCTGCGCCGGGCCGCCCCACAGCACCGCGGGGCGGGGCGCACCAGGTCCCCGCCCGCACCCGCCTCCTCCTGGGACCCTGGCGTCTGACCTCTGAGCCCGGACCGGGACGAAGCCGAGGCTCCTGGCTGTCAGCAGATTCTCCAGCGACCGCTATTCATTTCTTTGTGCCCATCGGATGCTCTGATTTCTCAGTAGTCACTGATCAGCCCTTCCTGTAATCCCATGGGGACGTTTCTCAATTGTCCCTGGCCACCAGGCAAACTAGTTGTATTACTCTGTAAGATAAATGCAGCAGTGTCATCAAAGATAGCTAATTAAAGAAAAAACACCCCTGATGAAGCAAGGGGAGAAATTCTGCAGGCCCCACTGTAGGCTTTTTAGAGTGGGCTGCACATTTATAGGAGCGATGGGAAAAGAGGGCTTTTTCATAACAACACTGGGGTTTTTGGAAAATTTCTAGCTCAACACTGCAAGTACAACAGCTAAGATTAGGAAAAGTAGAGTCTCCAAAGGTACAGCATGGGTTAGAGAAGTAGCACAATCTCCCTGGCTCGAGTCCCTTGAGCATTTTGTGAGTGGAGCGGCTTCCCAGAGCTGCTTCCCAGCCGTGATTGCCAGGTGAGCTGGCCTTGGGGATCCTTCTGGTCTTCTTAGGGAGGAATTTTGTTTGAGGGACTTCTAGAAGGACTACTATAGATATTTTTAGGTAATTCACTGAAGTGGCCCACTTACTGTTGATTAGGAAATTGTTATTTGAAAATAAAACATTTGTGAATTCTTAGAAGAAGTATTAGGTTGGAAATGATGGAATGGAAAAAATCAATTCTGAATTGGACAATGGCTAGTCAGTAAATTGCAGTTAAAAAGGAGTATTTTACTATTTTCATCCTGATTATTTCTAGAATTCTCATTTTCTTGTGAAATTGTACTAATTTCCATGGGATTTTTTTTTTTTTTTTTTTTTTTTTTTGGTTTGCTTTCTTAAGCTTTATCTCCTCTTGTCTCCTTCTCTCTTAGGTCAGTATATTTTAATAGGATTCATTTTTTTGGTGTCTTATTTTCTAGTTTGGCATTGTCACATGGAAATGTGAGTCAGAAATGCAAGTCACATATGTAACTTAAAACTTTCTGGTATTAAGAAAAAGGAATAGGAGCAATTAATATTTATAATACGTTTTATTTGATGTAAAGTGACTATTTTAACATGCAATCAATATAAAAATCACTAGTGCTATGTTTTACACTTGTATACCAACTTTTTGAAAATGGATGTGGATTTAGACTTGCAGCACATTTTATTTGAGACTGGCCACATTTCAGGTACTGGATAACCACATGAGCTGGTTGCTCCAGTGCTGGACAGCTCAGCTCTGGTGTTAACCACCAGCTAAGTGGCCCCAGGAGCCTGGAAAGTATAACAAAATTCGTGGCCAAAGCCTTTCTGGGGACAATGAGCTGGAAACAAATTCTGAAGTCTTTCTGTTGGAACATTTAAAAATTTCAGCTTGCACCTCTGTTTGGTACTGTGCCATTTGATCTCAGTCCTAAAGTAGCCATAGTTACTTTTTCTTTTTTACTGACTCATAGTGTATTCTTGTATTCCTACTGTTTTCTCCCCACTTTTTGCTTACTTAATTTTTAATATGTTGAAAATCCACTACTTTTGGGCGGATGTAATTAAAAGCTTTTACTATTCTCCTTTTGCATTTTTCTATTTTTTAACTATAGTATTACCTTTGTTTTGCTGTTTTTCTTGTTTCCTTATATGAAGAATTATATTTTTCATACTATGCTATATTGTATAGAAATCAGAGTGAAAATAATTTTTCTGTCTGCAGTATTTATAATCTTTAGCTACAAAATAGACTTTTATAACTTCACCAGTGCTTTCTATTGTAGAGCATGAGAATTAGTTTTGGTTCCCATGTCATACAGTATGTTAATAATGTCTTAGAAAAGTTAACAGTGGATTTAAAGAATGGTGAATATTCCCTGAGAATTAGATACTTTTCTAATTAAGCTAGAATGTTAGGTGGACATAAATTTTATGAACTAGAATTCTAATTTTTGTAAGTCATATTTTATAGTTTTTGGTATGTAATGAACAATTGAATATCAAATTTTCCGGGGGTTGAGGTCATAAGCTTTGGTTTTCATCTTGGTTAAGAAGCTAATTACTATATCTACAACTCTATGTCTAACATATATGAGGAAAGAAATTTCAAGATAGAGAATATAGAAAGCATCTATTTGAATTTCTTATTTTCCAAATGAGGAAATAAGGACCAGAGAGGCTGAGTAAATTTATCAAATAATGCACCTAAGGACAAAGCACAGACAAGACCTAGGACTTGTGGGACAAGTTTAATTCTGGTTCGGTCACACTAAATTCAACAACTGGTCAACCCTGTCAATTTAATGGAAGCACATTTTGTAATTTTGCGACACATATAAAGTAAACTATTGCTTGCCTGAAATGTTAAATTTTCCAGCTTGGTAAGCTCAAGTGAAATGAATTTTGATAGCATTTCAAATAGCATTTAATTTATATAAACTTTGTATGGAAAAACACGGATAATGCCTACGGAATGTAGTAAACTCATCACACTTTGCACACATCTAAAGGTTTTTACCACTCGGTAATATCTTTCCTCTATTATATCCAATACTAGACCAAGGGTCTTAATGATTCATCAAGATGATATTCCACTGTTTACCCTCAGCACTGATTTATGTATAACATTTATATACACTTAATAAAATTTATTAGCATCTTCCCTTCACACTTGTCCATCCATCCATCCATCCATTCATCCTTGCCCAATGTTTGGCAAATTCTTGGACCTAGATTCATGTGGGGTGACCTAATGGAAAATAATAATGGTTTTCCTTTATTAAGTATCAAGGCAGACACTTTAGTTTTAAAATTTCTTGAACAAGTGTAAACTTAATATAGCTAATTCTATCTATGTCTGAATTGGAGACGTTTGCATAACATATATTTGTTATTTACCAGACAGCATTTATTCTTCTATTAGGTTTGCCATTACCTAATTACCATTAGGTAATACCATTTTCACAGAGTAGAAAAATATGTATGTATGTATTAACAAACAACAGCATGCAAATATTGTGTTTTAAACCTACTTTTGACTGAAATCTTTTTACATTTAATTTAGTACAGTAGAAACTATTCTTTAGAATCTAACTATGGGATAAAAGTGTTACCACCTATTAGTTGTGTTACCTCTTTTGAATTTCATCTGTAAAACAAGGATAATAATAACTACTCAGTTATCATAAGGAAGAAAATAGACACTTCATCAAGTGACTAGCTCTGTACTTATTATATAGAAGACATTCATAAAGATTATTCTAGTATCATCATCCTGCAGTGTCCTAAATTTTGCCAATTTATATATAAAAATCTCATCGGAAGGAGACTTTTGTAGAAGTGTTTTGATATAAAAGCATTATTCATAAATATGAAATTAAACTACTAAAATTATAAATACATGAAGTTTTAGTCTTTTTAAGTATTCAGGTTTTATGAATATATGTAGATTGTTATTTATTTATGATTTTAGTTCTACCTGTCTTGGTTCAAATTCTCCTATGCAGCTCTGGTTCTTTGCAATTGTAAGCCATATGTTGGTGTTTCCTCTTTAAAATATTCCACCATCAGCATTGTTTTAGGGAACATGTAGACTCTCTGACAATGCAGTGTGGGTTATCCTCAGACAAAAGCTTTCCAAAATTAATAAAAATATGTCTTCACATTGATTTAAATGCACATAGGTCACACACTGATACCAACTTTATTATTTTTCCATGCAACAAAAATGTATAAGTAGCGTGGCAACCCGGAGAGACAGTACTTGTGATCAAATCAGCAAGAAGAAAACAGGAGTGGGCTGTTTACACATGCCACTTGGCCATTTTTTCCTAACGCCGATTCCAAAACACCACATCTGAGTTTCTGTGAGCACCTTAAAACCCTCTGAAATGTTAAAGACTTTTCCCCACAGTCAATTTTTCAGTTTATCTGGAATCCTGGCCATTTGGACATCCACAAGGTGGGCCGCTGCTGACCTTCAGCAGTTTTAACCTAATGTCCGCTGCTTCAGGTCAATTTCCTTCCAAGGTTGGTGGTACTGTTTTTCCATGTACTGGTTTTTTTTCAAAGCGTGCTCAGGCCAGTTGTGTCTGCCTTTGCATTAAATTTGTCCTGAGCCATTGCTATTGGAGAAATACTTTATAATGATATTCTTCATACCATTGTCTTATTAACATCTGTTGCATGCTTGTTATACTAACTGATGATTTCAGCTAAAC